AATTTTTTATTCATGACATGTGTGGTTTCTTGCGAATAATTTTTTTGGTGGTCTTACTTTTTTGCTCAATACTGTATATATAAACTTTTAAAAATATATATATAAATTTCCAAGTTATGATAATAACTTAAAGCCATTATTATAGTTGTGATTCTCATCACAACAGTTTCATTTACTATTTTTAAATAAAAGTTTAAATTTCTTTGAGACGTAATGAATATAATTTTTTAATATTTTTTGTTTTATGTATTATAAATCCTGAAGAAAATATGATTATGTAAATGATTGCAAAAGTTATTCAGATGGCTGTGAATATTATTATATTGATTCTAAAAAACACCTGAGAATTCTATTTTATTCAATTGGTTGCAACAGTTATTTAATTTATTAAAACGATTATTATATTGATTGAAAAATCCTATACTTAAAAAAGTATATTTTATTCATTTTAACTTTTAGTTTGGTATGAATAATGTTAATATTAATTATTGATTTTTTAATATAATATTTTTATTAAAAATTTATTTATACTTTTCAATGGTTAAACACCTTGTAAATGAAAAACAAATACTTGAAATATTTTAAAATCTGATACCACTGATGAAAATAACAATAACGAGAAACATGGTTTAAGAAAAAAATAACCACAGAAGAAAATATAAATTTCGTTATAATTAGAAACCTTGATAATTATATTATTAAATTTAATAAATCATAAGGTAAACTGAATCTAATAACGGTATTGCTTCGCTTTGGGCGCCGTACTGTGTTTGGGGCCCATGATGAGGAATACCAAAATTTCTTGATTTGAGTCTATCGTATCAAGGCCTCATGTCAACTAGTTTGACATATGCTTTAACGTTTTAGGGTTTATACCAATTATAATACTATTGGTTAGTTAAAATATAAAAAGGAAATTTATTAAAAGAAGGATGGTTAAACAAAAGTTTTATTTAAACTAAATGATAAGCTATGTAAAGCACGACATTTTGAGCTCAAAGTCTGTATCTCACACGTACTACTGTAGTAAACCTACAGAAAAAGACTATCTTACATCTTGCCTTTTCATTTACCAAAATGGTAACTTTTCTAACAATGATCAAGCAAAACAATAAGTTGATTCAGTTTAGATAAAAGGTTCCAGACTTTAAAGTTGACGAACAACCTGTCTTTTCTATATCCATGCTAACAAACTTAACTCCTTCAGTCGTATCTAAATGGATACATAATTATGATCATTGAAACTTGATTGTAATTGGTCAGATGAACAGGCAATCTATTATGAGGAGTATCATAGTACCAGATATTTTTAAACTGGTCTCCGAAGAAAATACAGCAAACGACATGCTCGTTTTTTTTACAAAAAACTATATTTCCTAATAACCATTATCTGAGTCACAGAGAAAATCTTGAAAAATTAAGATATTTACAATTTAAGAATATTAAACCTTACCTGAATAAGTTCGAAGAACTGCTGGAAAATACCAACATGTGTTTAGATCCTGAAAGACTTATAAAGGATAGAGAAGCATTCGATTTGTTCCACACGGGTTTGCTTAATACATATAAAAGAACCTTAAGACTGTAAGATTGTAGAAATATCGATTAAACAATTCTGATTATTGAAGGTTTAGAATCTAATAATGATATTCCAGAAAAGAAAAAAATTATAGAAAATAAAAAATTTAAGTTTATTTCAACGGAGTAAATAAACGAACCTACTACTAAAGATAAGAAAAAAAATAAATATATGTATTGTGTATATTATAAATGAGGTGGTCATACTTCCGTTAATTACACTAAACTAAAAGAGCGTTAGAGCAATCTAAACTCGAACGCATTTACCATAAAGGAAGTAGAAATGGTTCCTGAGAAACTGAGTATTAGCTGCAAACTAAATAATCATTTAACATAACTAACAATTGACACTAGATCTTCTGAAAATGTTCTTTCTTATGCGAAAGCCAAAGAGCTAAATTTGTTTATTAAAAAGTCTCAGACTAACACTATAATCCAGGTCATAAGTAGCAAATTTTTAAATGTTTTAGGTTATACTGATACCATATTGTACTTTCTAGGCTTAATAAGCCATTTCCTATTACATTTAAGATTTTTGACAAATTCGTTGATGATATAATATTTGGGGTAAAATTTTTATTTAAAAACAAAATAGATATTTTATTTAATACAAATACTATAAGATTAGGTGAAAATTATATTCAACAGAGTTCACCATTCTCAAACCCGTTTCTGCCCGACCAAAAAATACTTGAGAAAACAAAGTGTTTACTGATCGATAGTAGAGTTAAATTACTTGTAGATGATTTTATTAATTCTTTTAAAACTCTAGGAGAAATAAACAATATTGAGCATGAAATCAATTTGACTACTAATGTAACAATAAATTCCTAGCCTTACCCAGTATCTTTGTCGATATTAGGACAGTTTAAAATAAAACTACAAGAACTTTTGGATAAGGGCTTCATAAGGAAAAGTAGTTCAACAATTGTCTCTCCATGTTTTTTTATTATTAAGAAAACTGGTGATTTAAGACTTGTAATTGATAATAGAAAATTAAATTCTATTACTCAAAAATCATTCTATCCCATACCAAAACTTTCCGATCAGGTTTATTCCCTTAAAAACTATACAATTTTTTCTAAATTGGATTTAAATTCAGGTTATTATCAGATTAAGGTTAAAGAATCTGAAATTTACAAGACAGCATTTACAACCCCTTTTGGTAAATTTGAATTTATAAGAATGCCATTTGATTAACTAACACCCTAAGGACTTTTCAAAAAGTTATGAACGATATGCTCTGTCATCTTCCTTATGTAAGGGTTTACTTAGACGATATACTAATTTGTTCTAAAAAGTAATTAACATATAAAATATATAATTGAAATACTTAAGATAGTTTTGAATAAAAATGTAAGTATAAATGTTGATAAATGTGAGTGGTGTAGAACTGAAGTTGAGTATTTGGGTTATATCATTGATGGTGAAGGTATTAGATTTGTCATGTTAAAATTATTCAAAGATATTAATTTTAAAACTCCAAAGATTAAAAAAGACTTACAGCGACTAGTAGGATTTATTAACCGGTTTAAAGATTTTATTCCCAACCTATCCTCTAGAATTACTTGCCTTACACGTATGACTAGAAAAAATTACATATTTAA